TGTAAGTTGACCACCATTTAGCTGGCTAGATTTTAACTCCAGAGTGGAGAGTATTTATAAAGGCACATAGAGAATTCTAAAGGGAACCATAATACAATGTCAGTAGGATAATGAACTAAGGAAACAATTGTTTTTCATCATTCATTACATGTGGTAGCAAGGCTGAAAAGAAAACTCAGAACTCACTAATTCTTTTCATTTTTCCTGAGAAATTTTCTATAGTTTAGGAGTCAGGCAATGGAGCAGCTGGAGCCAAGGAGCTGTCTTTTCACTGTTTGTGAAATGCACAAGCGTTAGCCTGCTTGCCTGAGTTCATATAATATATGACATAACACTGTAAACATTTCTCCATATTACTAAGCTTCTTCAAAAAGCAATCTTGGATGGGTTCCATTGGATCTACCATCCACGCTGTGACCCCACACTGTTGGAGGCTGAAGCTGTTTCTTCTTTCAGCATCATGATGAAAACTTCTGTGCGTGAAGTGTGGTCTTCATCTCTGGTTGGTGTTTCCTTGGAAAGATCCCCAAGGGATTGCTGTGGCAAAGGTCATGGACCTTTTAAAGGCTCACCAAATTGCCTTCCAGAAAGACTTTCATGAACCGTGTGAGGTTATGTACTTTTCAGACACACAAAAGTGTGTTCATTGCTTAGAATGTGGGTAGAGAGATCTGAGGAACAATAGATTCTTTTCTGAAAAGCAGCGACCCTACTCAGTATCAGAAGTCCTTTTTATCTGAAGGTATAAAAGCCTTCTTTTTTTTTTTTTAGAAAGCTTTTCTTGTTCTCAGACATACAGATAGACAAGTATATGGCCAAAGAGGATGCATTTAGGCATTTTCCAAACCAGAAGCCCTGTCACAACCACAAGGAAGACTGGACTCAGCTCCATCTCCGTTGAGATCACCCTGCACCTGTCCCCTTTCTCAGTAACTGATGCTGATGTGAGAAGTCCCACCTGCCTTTGAATGTGGACTCGGCGGGAGGGTCCCCAGCAACCGGCTTTTCTAAGCTGGAGGCATGACAACTCACTCTTGTATGCAGAGACTTTCCCACAATCACTTGCAAAAGGGCCACCAGGGATGGCATTCTGACCCACAGCTCCGAATGCAATTGCAGTTCAGTCTTTGAGGCGTTTTTGGATCGAGTCAACAGACTCCACCCACATCAGTGAGAGCCCGTGGTCAGGTTCCAGATGGCAGCCAGTAACTGTGTTACTTGCCTGGAGGCCTCATTTAACAGTTGTGCCTGCCAAGGAACCAGAGCAGCTATTTCTAATTAACCGGCCCTTGCGTTGGCAGTTTAACCCATGATTTTGGAAACAGTCACTGTGGCTAACGTTCACTGAGCACTTACTAGGTTCCAGGCGCTGTGCTCCACATGCTTTGTTTCAATCTCTCATTAACCACATAAGGCAGGTACTGTTATGAGCCTCATTTTACCAATGGGAAGACTAAGGCTCAGAGACATTAAGGAACTTGCCCAATATCTCACAGTGAGTAAGCAACAGAGCTTCATTCAGCAGGACCAGCTACCTAGTGTGCGGGGTCCTGTGCACAGTGAAAATGTGGTCCCATGCTAAAGAATGACTGAGAATGTCAAAATGGCAAGAGCAGAGCATTAAACTCAGCTCGGGGCCCTTCTAAAGGGGGGGCCCTGTTTGCACAGGTTATACACCTATAACGCCAGCCCTGTGTGCACAGACATTCTGGTTCTAGAGTGCACACTCCTCACCACACTCCAGGGCTGCACAGCACGTGGTTTGGCAAAGATGGGACTTTGGCACGTAAATAGCAAATAGGAGCATAATCCGTGTGCTTCTCAGCCATGCGTCCTCTTTAGACATCAGCTTTCTTTTCATAGAAGGTGGGGACTATTTCCTAGCTGGGGGTGAACAGAGCTGAGCCCCACCGTGGTCCTTCTCTTTCATAACAGACTGTCCTCTCTGGGCCAGTCATCTCCTCTGAAAGTCACCAGAAGCCAGTTGATGGAGTAGCTCTCTGGATGTCTTTTGCTCTACTTAAATCCAGTTCCAATCTTCTGGGCTAGTTCTACCTGACTGGTTGCTTCTCTAGCAGCTATGTATCCCCTCTCACGTCCCAGCTTTCACAGCCCCCAGCTGCACCAAGTGATGCCCGCACCCCAAATCCAGGCATAGGCGCACACAGGTCTTTGGGCAGCCTGCCCGAGGCACAGACATTTTGTCCCTTGTCCTGGTGCTATGGGAGAACAGCAGAGTTCCCGGAAGGAAAGTAGAAGCCAACCACCTGTTTTCTCCTGGGGCTTCACTTTCCTGGAGACATGTTGCTCAGAAGTGATTTCTTCCTACAGAAAACCCGTAGCAAGATGATAATTGCTAATACTTACTGAGAGCTTCCTTTGCATCAGGCTTCACATACACGTGTTTAATCTTCACAGGTAACTGACTGCTTCACATGTAGCTCATTTCAACTTTACTAGCTATAAAGCGGGTGCTGTTAAGTAGCCTCACCTCTCAGATGAGGAACGTGAGGCAGGGAGGGGAGGGAGGTTGCCCAAGATCTGCGAGTTAGTAAGAGGAAGAACCAGAACAGGAATCCACATGATCTCTAGCTCTAGAACCTACGCGCACCCCTTACACCTCACTTTCAAGCTCTCCCAAGCACTCTGGGAGGCTGGGCAGGGCACTCTAACAGGCCCTGCAGAACTAGAGCCAAAACCCCAGGAACGTGGCCCTACTGTTGCCTCAGAACAAAGTTCCAAAATATAATTCCTGGGATTTTCCTAGAGTGACAGTGTTGACGGTCAGACTGAAGTAGTCACTCCAAATAGTTCATGAGAGGCAGGGGACCACAGTGTGTGCGCGCACACGCCCGCGCACAAAACACAGCGTTGCTCAGGAGTGGCGAGCACTTTGTGTCTGATATGATGCCCTTAAATGTACTTAGAGACTTATTTAAATATCACTTCGCTAGTGCCCTTACCTAAGAACTTGGCTTTAATTTTATTTGTTCTTGTCTGTGAAACACTGAATAAATAAGGAGCCAATAACAATAATGCTCCTTTGCATTGGTATAGTGCTTTACACATTTTCCATGTCGCCTTAGAACCCCTCCAACACTAGGGTTTGCAGCGGGAAGTGAGTCTAAGGACAAGCGGGTAGAATGAGGTGACTTGGATCTGGAGCCTCTGTCTTCTTACTTCTCTCTCAGGCTCCTCAATGACTCTGGAAGACCCCTGACCCAGGCAGGGATGGGGGTATGTCCTGTCTGAGAGCTGGAGGAAGGGAATGCAGCACTTGTCAGGGCTAAGAAGATGCCTAGTCAGCAGGTTCAGAGCCTCGGTTTGTTTGCCAGTATCTGCAACATATTTCTTTCTGAATTATTGGACTAAAAAAAACCTAGATTCCCTGACAGTAATCACACAATTATGAGACAGCCAAGCAAGAGTCATAAATGTTTCCAGAAGTTACTAGAATGTTTCCCAGAGTCACCCATATAGGAACACTCCCTTTCCAAGAGGGCTATGTTATATAGATCGGATTACTCTTGAGGGGGATGGTTAGAAAAAGGATTGCGTCCAAGTTCCTGAAAGTACCTGAAAAAAGTTCCAAGGGGTTTTTTTTTGCATTAAGTCAAAGTGGTGGTGAGTAAAAGAAGTGAGAGGTTAGGCGGCTTGCCTGAACACTCATTGATGAAACGGCAACTGTAATTTAGATCATTTGTGATAAGAGGTTTGAATAACTCTGAGTGGGAAATTGAAAAGGAAAAAAGCTAGGTGACTCATTACTCAAGGGCAGAAAGTGAGCTCTGTGCGTGCGTCGGAGAATGAGCGAAGAACTCATCAACAAGGTCCTTTCCTGTGTTGCATCCCCAACATGCTGATAACCATGAACCCAATCACTCTCCCACTGGTGGCTTTAGAAACTGACCTCACCTGAGTAACCCTGATACGGGACAATAGTTAGGTCACTATCTAGATACTCCTTGGCATGAAAATGAATAAAGTAATTCAGACTCTCGTTACTATACAACATGTGCTAATGCCATAAGCCATCTTCTTTCTTTCAACACTGCTCTCTTTAGCCCCATAAATAAAGAGTAAGGCCACTAGTCACTGTACCTAAGTTACTTAGGTAATTGCAGAATTCTTAAGAATGCAGATGCAGGTGTTTTTATAGCACTATTTGACAAACATACTAGTAGACCTGGCTATGAAAGGATTCTTTTGTATGTAACATCCATTCCACTGGCAAACATTTATTTAGCACTTGATAAACCTCAGTGCAAGAAGTGGGTGGGAGGATAGGCTGGACTCAGAGATAATGCAGGGTTCCCAGTAAAGAGAAAAAGAGCCAGGCCGAACTCAGCATCACTGTCCATGTGGGAAAGAGGCACGGTCTCCCCCCCACACCCCGCTCTTTGCTGTTGTCAGGCTTCCCAGGGTAAGGCTGTACGATCCATGGGTCCTTTCTGAATTTGTGCTAGACCACATAGCCTCCTTAATGCGGAGCGCCCGTGACCCTAGGAAGGCAAATGTTGAAGGCAGCCACAGCCTGGCCAGTGGAGGGGCTGCCCATGAGATGAGACTATAAGGGAGGGGCTCTTTTCCAATCTAAAAACCACAATGGCGAGCCCTTTTCAAGGTGTGCAGGTGTCCCGAAACCAGACCGGTCCGGGATGTTGGGTGTTTCTGCAATGGATGGTTCCATTTTCCATTAGAAATGCAAGTCTGGGTGACCACTAAATTCCTAAAATGTAATCTAACTAAAAACATTCAATGCAGGAAACCTGGATCTCCTTTAAACTATTTACAAGAGAGAAGGAAAGGAGGCAATGGAAAGGTGTTCTGAATTTTGTAATTTTATGGGCCTTTGAAATGAAGTTTACTTCCTAAAGCTCATCAAGGGTGGGGGTGGGGTACAGAAACGTTTTAAAGGCTCTGTGGAGTCTTTGCTTCCAAACTCTCCTTTCTCTGCCACCTCACCACTCTCCCTCTCTCTTTTTAATATTTCTCACCAGGGTATGGGAATATTGCTCCAAGCACTGAAGGAGGCAAAATCTTTTGTATTTTATATGCCATCTTTGGAATTCCACTCTTTGGTTTCTTATTGGCTGGAATTGGAGACCAACTTGGAACCATCTTTGGGAAAAGCATTGCAAGAGTGGAGAAGGTCTTTCGAGTGAGTACTGCCTCTATGTCAACCCTGACCTCTGGGATCCAATTGGCTATAGTCTGGCGGGATCCAGAAGGAATCGGCTGGGTGCTATCATATCATTACCTCTTCTAAGGGAATAGCCTAATGTTATGATCATATTTTCTGTTTGGCTGATGGTAGTCAAAGGTATCGTGCCTCAACTCTTCTCTTCGGTAGTTAGTTATCTTCTGTAGAGTGCTATTTCTGGAATCGCAGCACAGAAGGTTAAGTATGGATTTGTCAGCACAGATTCTCTGAAGACGTGAAGCATACTCTGTGGTTCCTTAGTGTATTTGCAATAAAGTAGAGAACTGTAAATTCATCCATTTTGTTTTGGGAATATCTTTCTTCCATTTTATTTGGAAGCACAGTGTCTTTAGTCTGATCCTGGCTTCTGGGATCTCTTCCAGAGCCTGTCTTTTCTAGACACTGCTTCCTGCTTTGTATCTGTCTCCTCATGGCCCCTCCCTCTTTCTCGTTCCACTACTGAGTGCTCCCTCAGCAAGAGTACGCTGATGTACTAATTCATACTAAGGTGCTGATGACTGCTATTGTGTTAGTGGGGGTGGGGTCTCCTCTTAAGAATACTTACCTTTAAACAAGGGACAAAAGCTTCAACTCAAGTAATTTCTTTACTCAAGATGGCATCGCTGGCACCAGTGACAGGCATGTGAAGTACATGTGATTGGACTGGGGTTCCCAAGGAAGGCCCTTTAGCTCTTAGCCATTCATAATAATTTAACGGAACACTTGTTTTGCTTTGCTGTAAGGTGGTTTCTGCTGTTTTTCTCATTATTGCCCCACAGTTCAAGTGTTTCAAACCTTGAAATTTCTTTAGGAAATTTTTCTCATGATGACTTAATATTTAAAAATGACTATTTGAGATCTTTTTTAGAATCTAGCAGTGATGGGAAAGATAGGTCAATGAGTGGCAAGCTCTAAATCTGAACTTGTTTTTCCTAGACAAGAAATCATGACTTCAGTTTTTCTTTAGAAGATTATGCAAGGGAGTTCCCCAGCTCAGTTTGTCAGAGCAGTTTCAGCTGGTCAGAGTGGATGGATCAGACCCTACGGCTGGCTTAGAGCCACCTTTTATAAGCTCAGTGATCCTGGGTGAGCTGCCTCAGTTTACTCATTGGCAAAAGGGGGTAGAATTCTCATCTACTTCATAATCTTTTAGTTATGGTTAAATGAAATAACATATGGGAAGAGCCTGGCTTGGGGCCAGACACTTAGAGTTCAGAGCTACTGCGTGTCTGTCTCCTGAACAAAGTGTTTGTTGGCAGGCTAGCCACCCATTCAGATGTCATGCTAGCAGCTCGGGAGTATGTGTGCTTTTTCTGGAATGTCCTCCAGCCTTTGCTCCCTAAGTTCGGGCTGGTCAGCCAGCCTCATTAGAGCCTGCACCTGGGCTCAGCGGTCACCATGGAAACCGCCAGAGCTCAGCTTCTCTGTTTCTCGGAGGTTCAGGTCTCCCTGAACCAGACAGGGCAACCCTGTCTCCAAGAGCTGTTCTTGGAAGAGCCCTTTTAGCCCTCCGAGCTAAATATAAAAATGTATTGCCGTGTCTTTATTTGTAGAAAGAAATGATTGGAGTACAAGCTTTTGAAATTCCTCTTTATAAAAAAAATATGAGCAACTATATTCTAAACGAGGAAGGAGGTTGCACTCATTTGATGACATCTGCTACCAAATTTGGGGACTTAGTTTTTCCCCTAATGTATTTTGAACTCTGAGTCCTGTTCTCCTTCCCCTGAAAGCTGCCTCTCAGTGGACCATTCATCGGGCTCTGGGACAGAGCCTTAAAAATCTCACATTTCACTTTTATGCTCATGGCCCACTCAGTTCCTTACAACACCATCCAAGACTGGGAGTCTTCCAGGAAGCTAAGGCGGAATATTATGGAACTGGCGTCACACAAAGCAGGCATTCGCGGCCCAGTGGAGGGCGCTGTTGGAAGGGATGAAGAGTTCCAGGACCCACACAGGGGCAGTCTGGCAGCAGCAGAAAATCTCCAAACTCCTTGCCATTCATTTAAACTACATCTAAAATGCCAGTTACTCTCAGGTGATTATTTGAGACTTTGAAATTATGCAAACCAGTAAGCCTTGGGGTTGTGATTTCTGGTTCCTTCGGGGAAGGCTCATTGTTTTTGTTTTTGTTTTTGTTTTTGTTCTTTCGCCTGCTCAATGATTGTTAAGCCTTTCCCTTCATTTGTTGTGGGTTTTTTCCTCAGTTCTTGGGATAGAGAGGATTTTTAGCAGAGTGAAGATAAAAGTTAAAATCAACCTTCTAGCTGCCCGTATTCTGAAGTGACATGATTTGGTCCTTCTACCACATCTGAACCTCATTTTAAAGAGTTGCTGAGGGTGTCTGCATTATTTAGGAATGCTTCTGGCTACAGAGGAATAAAATGCTTGGCTGTTGGAGTTCTTATGGGGTGAATCAAAGAAAACACCCTTTCGCCCTCTGAAGCTCAGAACTAATCAAGTAGACATAGGAGTCGTATGGAATTAAAATATCAACTTCATTGCTAATAACCTCATCGGAGAATGCAGCGTTAGCTTTGATGCCAGAGGGACTTAGTAACCACCTCATCCTAAATTAGAAGGACTCCCTGCTGTATTAGTTTTCTATTGCTGTATAAGAAATTATCACAAATGCAGATGCTAAAAACAGCACCCATTTCTTATGCCACAGTTCTGGGGCTGACCACATCGCTGTGATGAGCTAAATTAGAATTCTGTCCGTAAAGAAGTTTGGGTAAACAAATGACAGCATCTGCCACAGGTGTCATCAGCTTCTAGTCACACAGACCACTTACAGGAAGCTGACCTCCCTCCCTTTTGTCATAAGTCAGGTGGCCTTTGGGATCCTTGAATCACTTAGGGAAGACTGGATTATGCTATGGTAAAAACAACCCGTTTACTCTCACCTCTGCCAGGTCTGCCAAAGCCCAGGCAGCTCTCCAGGTTTTAGGGTGTTTTTTGGGGAGAAGGGGGTTGTAGAGATAGGCATTGCACACTGGTTCTTAAGAGCTTTGGCCTCCAGTCATGGCCATTGGCCTGAACTAGTCGCATAGACCCACTGCAAAGGGAGCCTGAATTGTTTTGTTTGATCTCCAGGAAGGGAGGGAGATGGGAAAATTGGTGACCACTAGTGATCTCATGTGCATATTCCCTGGGACTGTTCCTGGGCTCACTGTAGGGCAACAAGCATCCTTAGGATTTAGAATAGAAGGCCTGTAGATCACTCTTTGGGGAACACTACTCTGGTGAGACTCATTTCACGTCCAAGGATTAGAGCCCGCGATTTGCTCAGTAATTTCCCTAGAGTGACACAGTGAGTTGGGGGCACAGCCTGGACTCCAACCAGTAATCTTGTCTCCTCTTCCAGGTGGGCCACAAATATTTACTGTCAGAGGTGTGAACTCACACCATGAAACCATTGTGGAGTTTAGGTGTTTTGGATATACCATGCTAATTCATGAAGATGATTTAATTTATTTATATTTATGTAATATAAAGTAAAAATAATTTTTCCTACGTTCCCAAGGGGACATCTGGGCAGTTAGCAAGGAAGGATAGTGATTTGGGATTATGCAGGGCTGATCTTGGGTTCCAAAGGAGATTTGGGGAGTGGGCAGCCTCTCTCTCTCCTGCTGTGGGCTGGCTTCTTTGCTGGACCAGACCAACTGTCATTTGCTAGGATGCTGAAGGAAAATTGGTCAGATTTTGGACTGGATCCCATTTTCTTGCTCTGAGCTGGACTTTAGCCCCTGGTGGGAAGCAGCCGCCTCTTTTTCTCTGGCTGACCAGCAGGCTTCCTGATATTACCTCTATAGTCAAGGGGCACCCTTTCTCTTTTCCTTCTCTAGTCTTTTCCCCCAAGAATACTGCAGAAATGTTTATTTGCCTTTGGACCCAAAGAAGCCTGGGTGTGGCTGACAAATAATAAAACATTAGTCTAGGTTTATCGGTGCCATGATAACCCAGGGACTTTGGAGCCTGCCAGATGCTTAAAACCAGGTGAGGACGGTCTCAGTCTGCTAATGATGTTCAATTAGTGAGCTAATCAATCACTTTGGGTTGTAGGAAGGGGCTGGCGGTGGAAGCCAAGGACTCCTGGAGGCCTCTGCCATGTGCCTGGCAGAGTAGAGGAAGGATCTGAAGGACACATTGGCAGGAGGCTTCTGTTTCTCACAAGGAGTCTTTGAGCTAGTTCCCAGCTCAAAGGGGTTAACTTAAAAAATTATTATTTCAAGAAGATAAAAACCTTTGTTTTGGAAACGGTGTTATTTTCAGCTCTGCAGGTACAATTTTCAATAGTACTAATAGTAGTGGAAATGTTCTAATAGTAGTTCTAATAGTACTAATAGTAGTGGAAATGTTCACTGAGGAATTAGTTATGCGCATCAGCATTATACCTAAGTAGGTGTAGGAAGCCAGGTGGTGAGCTGAGAGTGCCCGAGAGAGAGAGAGAGAGAGAGAGAGAGAGAGAGAGAGAGAGAGAGAGAGAGAGAGTGTGTGTGTGTGTGTGTGTGTGTGTCTCCCTCTATAAAATGCCTGCCCTACTGCATACCCTACTAAAAATTCCTGAGAACTAATTCAATGTGAGCTTATTTTTATCACAACGAGGACTGCTTTCACAACGTGAACAATTGCTTTCTTATTTTCCCTAAGGGTCCAGAGGGAGTGGGACGTAATTGTTCTAAAATGCAAAGAAGGCAAATATACTTAAACCTTTATCAACCAGGTCTCTTCTAAATTAGGTCAAGGATGTTGTCTAGCTTTAGTGATAGATCTGGATGTGCACTTGGGACGGACCACATAAACGACATGCACAAAACAGACTACATGACATCTCTCAATGACAGCCCATGTCACAGTTTGTCCATAATGGACCCTTCTTTCCTTCCCCTTCAGCCTCAGCACTACTGACATTTTAAGCTGAATAATTGTCCTATGCAGCATCCCTCTCCCCTT